GAAAGCTCTTTCATTGTTTGAATGCTATACTATCATAAAGGTGGTTATGGTCGATTTTTGTAATTTTTAACTCAAATAAAACTCTTTTTGCTGTCATGAGTAGTATTGGCTTTAGTTTGTCTATTCTGTGATATATAGGGGCAAATTTCGGAAACTAACGAACAAAAGTTGAAAGGTCTGCTATACCATAACCGAGGTGATTGTCCTCGATTTTTAAATTTTTTAAATAAAATAAATCGTTTTTGCAGTTAAGGATAGTTTTGGCTTATGTTTTAGCGCAATTTTCTTTTCCGAATACTTGCTCTCTTTAACAGTCGTCTATATTTAAACGGTCGACTGAGAGAAGAAGACATTTTACTTGCTTTTATATAAAAACGATTAAAAATTTGTTTTGAAAATTAATGGGCTGTTTTTGTATGAATTGAATATGTAGGGGCTGATTTCGGAAATTAACGAACCAAAGTTGAAAACCTTATCATTGTTTGAATGGTATACCACCACCCAGGTGGTTGTAGACAATTTTTATATTTTTTAAATAAAATAAATCTTTTTCTGCAGTTAAAAATAGTTTTAGCTTTTGTTCGAGCGTAATTTTCTATCTTTCATTCTCCGAATACTTGCTCTCTTTAACAGTCGTATGCTTTAACGGTCGACGAAGACGTTTTGCTCGCTTTGATATAAAAAGCGATTAAAAATTTGTTTTAAAAGTTAATAGGCTGTTTTTTTCTAGTATGAATTGAAATGTTTTAAAGTTTGAATTACAAAAAGAATGAATTAGTTTACCTATTCTGCGATATGTAGTTGCTGATTTCGGAAATTGACAAACCAAAGTTGAAAACTCTATCATTATTTAAATGCTATACTTCATTGTTTAAATGCTATGCTTCAACGGTCGACCGAGAGAACATGACATTTTACTCGTTTTGATATAAAAAGGATTAAAAAGTTGTTTTGAAAATTAATGGGCTATTTTTGTTGAAATGTTTTAAAGTTTGAATTACAAAGAGAATGAAGTAGTTTGTCTAATGTCGGAAATTGACGAGCCAAATTTGAAAGGTCTTTCATTGTTTGAAAGCTATATCATTATCAAGGTGGTTGTAGCCTATCTCTAATTTTTCTGAATATAGTAAAGCTCTTGATTTGTTGTTAAGAGTCACTTAGCTTTCTTTCGAGTTTTTTGATTTTCCTAATACTTGCTCTCGTTAACATTTGTATGGTACCATTGAAGTATTATGTAAGCGCCAAAGAGGGTGGTGTTTTTCCTGCAGACTTAAGTACGAGCCAACCGTTGGAGAAAGAATTTTTGCGCTATCTTATAGATATTATACAAAAAACTGTGTCATTAATTGTTGGTTATTAATTAAGTCATAATCAATTTTACTTTTTTTCTTAGGGCGGCGCTCAAAAAATAGATAACTAATGGTTTTTTGTTTTCGAAGTTTTAATGCTCACATTTGTCTTCTGTTCATGTTAATTCATACAATATTCTGCAGTATGATTTATTATTAGTTATATACATATATTTTAATCGCCACCCTGAAAAAAAAGTGAATATTAACGGTTAGGATATCGAGAGTAAATTAAAACATAATAACAATTTATACCAATTTAAGAATTGTTTTTCTATCTTTTTCAGAAAAAATATTCTAAACCAAAACTACAATGCCTCAAGATGATTTTCTAAGAAAATGGTCGCAATTTTGGAGTGCCTACTTGTTGGTAATTTGGACAATTTTGGTTAGTCGCAACATAAAAAAAATAAAATGGTTCCAATTTTGGAGTATCTACTTCTTCGCAAATTGGACAATTTTGGAAAATCGCAGCATAAAAAAGATAAGTTAACCTTTTTATATATTTTTATTTTATTATGTACAGGATGCATTTTCTAATTTGATACCACCCTTTATCTTCATAAAAACTGGTATTTCCTTGTAGAGGAAAGCTTACGAAATTGATATTTAAAAGTACAGAACAGACATATATATGTATATCAAATTTTTCCTTTTAAAAATATTTGGTTATATAATTGTTTATATAAATTATTTTAGCTGCCAAATAATTTCATTTAAATGTCTTTCCAGTAACAAATAATAATTAATTCAATATGTACTTTATTTTTTATGATTATCTCTTGTTATTATTTATGTCTATATGAACTTCATAGATCACATTTTCGAAATAAGAAAAAGAAGTTTGAAATCACCACAAAAAAATTACAAACCATTATATTGAATTTTCGTAATATCACTTTTTATGAAGATAAATTTCAAATTAGCAAATTCACCTTCTACCTAGCCACATGGTAAAATTGCCTAGGCGGTCATGTGGAGTACCTATATACACACATTGTGTATACAGTACATATGTTTATGTGCGTACATTTCATTACTATAATGAAAGCATAGTATAAATTAATTTATTCAAAATTCCAATAATAGATAATATTAGTTTATGAATTTAAACATTAAACAACAAGGTCTTAAAATTTTAAATGAAAGATTACATTAAAACATAAACTAATTCAAAAATAGAAAATTATAGACGACACATTAAAACAAAAAAGTTTTAAAATTAAAAAGTGGTTAATCGCGATAATTAAATAATTCTACGTACGTCCACGGTTTTTTATCACTTAAGTGTTATTAGTGTTGGTCGTTGTGGAATGTGTTTTACGTTAACTAAGTTTGCAACTGATGTAATTTATTTTTGTAAATATCAGTTCTTTTGCTAAATTTTCCAAATTAATGTTCTGCAGATATTAATATTCATCTACCTTTTTGTTTTTATTAAAATGGTAAACAAGTAATTTTTCTTACTATCATTAAACAGCAGCTAATTTTACGTATTGTCCACTACATATGGAATTTCGTTTCTTTACCTGTACACACTTTTTTATTTAAAAAAAAACACATTTGTTTTATAATACAAATAATAATTATCAAAAATTGCTTAATAATTCATAGAACGGTTAAATAAATACTGAAGTAAACCTGAAGAAGGTAACTTTGTTACCGAAAAGTACTTCGGACAACTACAGTGTCGTGTTTTGGCGTTGGGGTTTTGAGCTATTCTGTTTGTTCTATGTGAGAATTATCTTGAATTATGTCGTATAAAAAAGATTCAGACAATAGGTTCTATGCATGTTGTATGTATATCCAACAGATATTTCCCAGCGACTGAAATTTTATTTGAAAATCTTCAAATAGGTAAGTGAAATGTTTTGTCCTTACGCACAAGGGTCACCAAATCGATATATTCCTATATCACGAGTATGTTAAACGGGCATCGTGGGTAAGCCCTGACTTGCGACTGTCATGGCAGTTATTAGGCTTTGTGCCATCTACTAACGACTTTTTTGAGGATATATAATTGTGGTTCACCCCTTATTAGTAATGGTCGAGGAAACTTTAATTTAAATTTCCCTCTTTAAAGGGTTTAGTTACAATAAATTTTTGCCGTTGTTTACTTGAAATAAAAGCACGTGTGCTTTCAGTAATCCTTATTTTTTAACATTTTGTCTACTATTGCGAGGCTAAATTATCTAATATTAATGTGAAGATTCATTTCCGATTTTCTATCCACTACAAACTTCTTCAGGTTAATGAGGAAAAATATTTTTGTTGCTGTTGTCACATAGAAAATCGAAAATGAATTTTCACATTAATATTGCATATTAACTAGTATTAGTAATTAAAAATGTCACTAAATTATCTGTATCTGCTGAAATGTTTTAAACGGCATCATTATAAAGGTAAGTGACCAGCGGCGTAACAAGGGAGGGTGCGCGGGTGGCCGGGCACCCGCTCGATTAGGTTGGGCACCCAGTCAATTCTAGTTGATTCAAGTAATAACGTAACTTAAAAGTTCTCAAAATAGTTCAAACTCGTCGAAATAATCTTTTTTTTTAGTCATTCATAGTGTTATGAATCGATCTCAACTCAGCCGAACTCTCAATACAATGCATTGACCCAGTCAAATTGTAACGTTGTTGCGCCCCTGTAAGTGACAATATTAATTAGACATTTGGAAAATCGTAACAGCAATCGTTATTACATGATAATGTTATTGTATCTAGCTAAAACTTTAAAACGAATTGTAAAGCATTATTGTAATTATTGATTGACTGATTGATTAACTAATATTACTATGACTATAGTATAAAAACAAAAGATTAAGGAAAAGGGGAACACTAGTTTTTTTGCTTAATTTTTAACAAATCACATGTAACGAAGATTAAAGTTTTACAGTTGTACTATACGGTTTATGTACCAATTTTCATAATCTTCTTCAACAACGACAGAATTGCCGCACCGTATAAAATTTCACCCCATAGTAATTTAAAAAAAAATTAACACCTTTCATTACTTTCCAATGTGGTCTATTACGAATCTTCGTGTTTGTAATTCCATTTTGTATATGGTAGTTTTACCATTTTACGATTTTATATCTGCTTAGGGATGAAATACCAATAATCATTTCTTAGTGGATGTTTATGTTACGAAATTAATTAATTGCCCGAATTGATGTACCATGTTTCGGTTGTGTGTTTATGTATTTGTCAGATGTATGGATTAATTTCCACCCACATGTAATACCCTTCGGTTTGGATATATTGAAAATTAAAAACACGTATTTAATCATGTACGAAATTCGAAACTGATGGGGTCATCCAATATTATTTTAACATATCAACTTACAAACAACTATTAACAAAAATTGAATTGATGAAGCTTTTAGATACTGTAACTAACAAAGATATCTTGTTTGTGTTTTTGTTTTCTACATTAACAATTAACAAGCCCCCATTTCAATTATTAAAAATTTCGAATTAAATTTTGAAATCCCATCTTTTAATTACTCTTACGTTGCATAAGCAACCTTTTGTTATAATATTGCCACCAACGGAAAGATCAGTTAACATTAAATTGTAATATATTTATTTTAACTTATTTTAATTAGAAATAAATTTAGTTCTATATTTTTGATTTTTCGTCATTTCAAAAGCATGGCTTTGTTTGTCTGATATTTTACAATACATTCAAACTATTAAAAAACTGATTATCATCCTCTTCATATCTAATACTATCTTATCTAAGTTTTTACTATCTCTCTCGACTTTGTTCTCAGAGTTCTGGTCAGGCGATGGAACTTGCACGAAGCAAATTATTCATAATTTCAATTTTATAAAAGTTAAAGTGAAAGTCGCTACGCTATTGGTTCAATTACGAAAAATTTGCCGCGAACTGACGCAGAAACCCAATGTGATGCTTCTGCGTAACATTATTTACGTCATCACTGCTTCATGTGGTAGCAATCGCAATTTCACGACAGCCTGAACATTGCCAGGTTCTCGTGGTCAGTTACTTCTTGCTTGCGAGAACGTTTGTTCACGTCTTTCGTTTCAATTTACCGAATTCACTTTTACGTAGAATAAACTTTTTACTGCAAATTACTAGTGAAATTAATTTTATCTAAACACTCTTTTATTTTACAGGAACATTGTACAAACTCTGGATGCCATGTGGTACGAACGATTCTTCATATCAGTCCTTTTTCACTCCTGGATGAAGGAAGCATTAAATACCTCTTCTCCGCTGGAATCAGAGGCAGATTTTGCTATTGCTAAGGGAATGATTCATGACAATAAAATGGTAACAGCATTATTTAAAAACTACAGATATCATTTTACTTTTAATAGCATTTTAATTTAATTAATTAAATTATGCAGTTTTTCCAGGGTGGCGGTCAAACAATTACACAACTATATGTTTTTGTAACATTTCGGTTTATTTAACCATCTTCAGACTTTTGGAGTGTTACTGCAGTAATAAACCGAAACGTTACAAAAAACATCATATAGTTGTGTAAAAAATAAAAAATCTAATTAATTAATTCGTGTTTTTTGTCCATTTTTACAGATTGGCCAACAAATCCTGATGCCATCGAAACAACAGTGTGTACAATGGTATCTCCCGCTTTCCCTGGATTTCTTCATTTCTGATTAGCTGTTGTCATCTTCACCTTGCAGCGTTATGCAGTTAATTTTGTATCGTTGATTGAGAGCAACTGGAAGTTATTTGGACCCCATTAAAACAATGAATCATCTGCAATGGAATCGTTCTTCCTGAATACGGTTTGCTGTTGCACTTGCAAACTTTCGAGAGTTACATTCTGCAGTTAATGAAGGTAAGAGTGCATAACATAGTTAATAATAATTGCTCGTTACTAATCTGTTACCAACCTATCTGTTTCAGATCAACGGTGGAGAAGACCAAGAAGATTCCGTAGTTAGAGTGCTTTTTATTCGATTTCAATCAAGTTATCATTTTGCATGTTTTTTATTTGAATTAATTTTTTAGTTTGCATGTCTTTTGTGTTGATTATTTTATTTGAATTCATTTTTGATTTTAGATGTTTTTATTTTTTGAAGTAGTTCTTAGTACTAACATGTTCATTTTTTTGTAGAGAGTCTAACATATCTCTTGCTTACCTCTTCGCTTAGCTTACTGCATATTCTTACTATAAATTGCTTTGCATTTACCCTACGAGTTCTACATGATTCAACGTTTCGTTATCGTGTGTGTTTCTTCTCACCCTTGTGGAATTAGGGAGGGCCTCCCCGAACGACTTCCCTTGGGCTTAGCTATTTAGTTGATCTTAAAAGTGTCTTATACACTTTTCGCGAGTCTACTCTAGCGTTACTTCCTTTCAGACAGGGTACAGTGGGTTATCTGGAATAGGAGCAATAGGCGACTGCCCAGCTTGCCTTGGCGAAATCTGTCCGATCTTCTCTACCAAACCTATTAGTATTTGCCGTTAGTCCTGTTAATTTGCACTGTTTGCTTTCAGATAATGAGGTATTCCCTAAGAAGAAGGAAGACATCGTTTTTTTTACTTTTCATTGTACTTTCTTGCAAATTTCATTTATTTTCTTGTCTGTCTTTTTCAGGTATTTCGTTTTTTATTGTATAAACTGTTGAATTACCAAAAATATGTAATTGTAGCTTAAACTGATAGGTAAAACTTTTTTAAATTGATTTTTTGGCATAAACGTTAAAACCAAATTAAATACTTATTACCACGTTCATAATTAATATTGATTTGGGCGGATAGGGTGGCTATAAGGGGAGATGTGGAGGCCACAGAGAGTTAGAGGGCATTTTTGTCCCAAATGTAGTACTTCAATGGTAATTCAACAGCTTGTAAATAACTAGTAAATGTAATAATTAGAATGATGCATTATTTGTTGGATATTTTGTGTATGTTATGTAATATGCTATATTTGTAATAAATATGTTTGTTGTAATAAATGTAAATTATGTGTCTACATAATAAATGAATTATCATTGTATTATCATTGTTTTGGTGATGAAATAAATAAATAAGTAAATGAATTTTGTGTTTTAATTTCATGTATGTTTTCTTGAAAGTCCTTATACGTAGACAAAAATAAACTCATATGGACCACTAATATGTTTAAAAAGCAAAGAAATTATATTAATTTTGGTATTACTAGCGCCATCATACCATTAGGAGCTAAATTAAAGTCGATCCCGCGCTGAAACCGCGAATTCAGAAAAAGATCTCATGCGACTTATGCTCTCCTAATACAAATGTTCAAATTTATGAAAATTTTCAGGTTCGCGACATATACGAGGTCCGATTAAAAAATAGTTGAACAAATTAAATTTTAATTTTCAAGTTTTAATTGGTCAAAAGATCTCATGCGACTTATGCTCTCCTAATACAAATGTTCAAATTTATGAAAATTTTCAGGTTCGCGACATATACGAGGTCCGATTAAAAAATAGTTGAACAAATTAAATTTTAATTTTCAAGTTTTAATTGGTCAAAAGATCTCATGCGACTTATGCTCTCCTAATACAAATGTTCAAATTTATGAAAATTTTCAGGTTCGCGACATATACGAGGTCCGATTAAAAAATAGTTGAACAAATTAAATTTTAATTTTCAAGTTTTAATTGGTCAAAAGATCTCATGCGACTTATGCTCTCCTAATACAAATGTTCAAATTTATGAAAATTTTCAGTTT